GTGCTGTCGATTGTAATTTATGAGTTTACAATATGTGAGGTTCCGTAGTTATTTTTCTTCCTCCCTTATACTACATTTGTTTCAAGTTCAGTAATGAAGACTACCTGAAAATTGTGTTATGAAACAACGTTGATTTTTAATGTAAAAGAGCCTAACTGATGGGATTTATGGTTTTACCATATTTTGCAAACATCTATCAAACTTTGATTTTATAAGGGGCTTGACACAATCTTAAACTTTACATGTTCATGTATAAACTTGCATCGAAGACCTTAATAAACACCGCGAAATAGTTTGTATTTGAAAGAAAATGCAAACCCTAACTTCTTAAAGAGTTTTTGTTTTTTTTATGAATGATCATCTTTAGGAGGGGTTACACAATTTGTTTTCCTAAATGTTTCAAACTTGCGGTGGCGCCATCTTTAAGCATATAATTAAAAGTGGTAATTATATGGCCAGAAATATGACATACTGATGCTGCATACTCAAAGTACTGATACCAAGCTTTTAATTTTAGTGCGGATTGAAAACGTTTTAAAAAATGTGTAAGTTTAACAATAACTTCAAGGGAAATGAGCTTTGCGTGGCTTTCTTATCGTTCCCCTTAAGTTTTACGACATATCTAATGAAGCAGGGACTTTCTATATTAAATAGTTTAGAAAGTTCCTGAATGAAGCGAGCCTTTTTTGCCGTTTATGTTGTATACTGTTACACAAATTTCCAAGGTAAGGAGGCGGGTTAGGGGCTCACAAACATGTTAAACCCGTCACATTCTGTATGTGCTGTCCCAAGTCAGGATTCTGTTGTTCGTTGGTTGTCGTTGTTTGTTGTCTGCCGTAATTGTTTTTTTTTGTAGTGTATAATTGTTTTGTCACAAATCAGGTCGTTGGTTTTCTCGTTAGAGATAATTCACAAGTTCCGGATCTTTATAGATTATGCTGAACACACGTGCACACTCTGAAATGTCTCGCCTTCTTTTTTATAATCAAAATTGAAGTATAATAATGCGGTTAAGGTCAAAATTAAGGTGAATTAAACAGCTAAGCCATTTTGACAGTTCCTGGAGTTTATGATTTGGTAAAAAAATATCAGAAATTCGCCAATATCAGACCAAAGGTGACACCACTGGCATCATGATCGGTAACTTATCTTTCTTGCTTTGTTTGTATATATATCTGACTGTTAGAAGTATTACCAGTTAAGTCAATTTGTTCTCAGTTGTAGAATAGGTTACCCTTTTGTTTGGAAAAAATACCCAAATTAAAATGGAAGTAACAGCTACATATATTCGTCTGTCGCTATGTAAGCAGTAGTCTGTAAAATATATAAAAAAAATCTTTACCCAAGCCTTTACTAATAACAATTAGATACATTATATAAATTAATGTGTTCTGTTTATATGCTCTTTCGTGTTAAAATGTTTTTAAAAAAATGTTCGAGTTATCCCTCTTTGTACATAACAGGTCAACTGACTTATGATTATATTGGTTTATTGATGAATCATTCCCAATCAGAATGACAGTTGTGAGAATGGATGGATGAAAGTAGTATATCATATGTCTCTCTTTGTTATGATTTATATGCCTGTTTTAGAATTTGAATTATACTGTTTAAAAGTCTTTTCTCACACTAAGAACCTTAGTCTGTATACTATTCTTTTCTAGAGTTTTTTTTATCACAGATTCTATTAATGATTCCATTTTGGCCCCAATATTTTGTTCTAATGTAAACATATTTATTCACAGGAAAAGGTGTGTTATTCTTTAATTTATTTTATTGTTTTAATTTGTTTTAAAAGTTTTAAGGATTATGGTAGATTTTGGCAAACATTGTAACAAGTTATTTTACAAATTCTTCCCACAATCAATTGGTGGCAATTAAGAATGCCATTCTGTATATTATGCTATGATACCCAATAAATTAATCGCATAAAACAGTGACTTGTGGGGTGCACATTTGCAGATAGATATAGCAAGGATTTGTATAGTAAAAGAACCTTCTTACTATACAAATCCTTGGATATGGCAAAATCATTGATATGGACAGACTAAGATAATGGTATGTATATCATATCAGTAGTTCATTAGGACTTCCCTTCATCTTGCTTCAAACTTGGTAGACAATAACATTTAAAAGTCCATTTCCCAATTAAAAATCTATTTCTGTGCAAAGAATATTATCTAGTGGGAGTTAAATTAATATAACAATTCAGCTCAATGTAATTTTCCAGTTAAATAATCATGTCAAAATTTTTTTGGCAAATTTCAGACTACATTAACTTCAAAGTAATGAACTCATAATATGGTTTCTTCATCTCAACAGATAGACAAATGAGTTGATTCACCAAATCATATTTTTTTCAAGAGATTTGCAACCTTTTTAAACCATGTTTTAAGATTTTATATGTGGCACCACCCCTCGCCTATTGAAATTATGGTGAAAACTAAAAAATTTGGTAAATGAGGAATATTCTAACACAAGTATTTGTTGATGTAGGTGGCCACTGTTAATTTTTTTCAAAATGCGGTCATAAATTTTGCAAAATTATGCCAAAAATCAGTTTATAATGAACTTCCCTACATTATCGACATCACAACTACACCACTTATGATGCAATCGATTAAAATCTTCTTTAACAGAAACAATTAGACATTATAACATATGCCTTCATCAAATTATCATCACATTTAAAAATGTTCAGATTTTAGGGCAAAAATAAGGAGTTTTAATGAAAAAAAAAATTTCAGACTGATACTGTGTAAATATTCACTGCAAAAAACTAAGTTAATCTATTAGGAAAATACTGAAAAAGCAAAAGATCCCGCTAACATGTTTGACTGCCATATTCTGTATGTATGCGCCTGTCCCAAGTCAGGAGCCTGTAATTCAGTGGTTGTCATTTGTTGATGTGTTACATATTTGTCTTTCATTCATTTTTTGTACATAAATTAGGCCATTAGTTTTCTTGTTTGAATTGTTTCACATTTGTCATTCTCAGGGCCTTTTATAGCTGACTATGCGGTATGGGCTTTGCTCATTGTTGAAGGCCGTACAGTGACCTATAACTGTTATTTTCTGTGTCATTTGGTCTCTTGTGGAGAGTTGTCTCATTGGCAATCATACCACATCTTTTTTTACATGACTGAATAACCTCTTTGAAAATTGTAAATGCCAATACAACTGCATACCAAATACCATTTACTTCTCGTATGTAAGTTCCCTTTAAACTGACAAACACAAACTTTAACATCTAAACAATGCAAAAGTTTCAAAGTCAATAAACTATGGGTGACAGGGCCATATAAGAGGGAATGCTATTACATACTAAATATCATTGACTTAAGTGTTATTGTTTACTGTAAAGTCACAAATTATTGCCAGGTTTTTATTATTGCGAAAATTGCAACAAAGTTGTAAACCCAATAATTTAATCTCGCATTTTGAAATATTTTACATGAATTAAACGTAAAAATTAAAATCGCATGTAAGTATAAACTGACAAAATCTCAATAAAAAATGCACACAATAATTTCTGAATTTACAGTAATCATAAACTGATGTAATCACAACTTCAAAATGTTAACTATATGCAATTTAAAGGACTGAGGGGGCTGGGACATAAAAAGCCATGGAAATGAGATGCATCACCTTGCAGACAATCACAAAACATGTAAATTCAGCTCCAGTTTCTAAGTCAATAGACCATGACTGAAGGGGCAGGGCCAAATAATCTCCATGAACTTGATATGTGCCAATGCTAATACAACTGCATATCAAATACCGCTGACCTACCAATTGTGGTTCTCCTTGAATTGACTTATTAGCAAACTTATACATGTAATCTAAGCATAGATGTTTCATGTGTTGGCTCTCCAATAATTGGGAATCATTCATGTTTTTTTTTTGACATATGGAATAATTTGGAATAGCATTTTATATAAAACGTAAACTATTGTTGAAATCATACCACAAAAATAGTCTCAATTGTTGTGAAATGTTCCAAAGGTACCGTCCTGAAATGAATTACCCTTTATATGTGGACTAACAAATTATTTGGGGTCTTCCATGTATTGATTTACCATATCTAAGTTTACTTCCTAGCAAGGTTCTATGTGCGAAAACACTGCTTCTGCACTGCTTTTAGTTTGTTTTTGTATATGTGACCTTGAACTTGAGACATCATATTTGATAGGATCTTTCTCATTAAATAATATATATCCAAATTTAGGTGAGGCCTTGGTGGCGTTGTTGTCGGAGTAGTTAAAACTACTGTATCACTAGCCTTTCAACGCAGAGGTTGTAAGTTCGAACCCTGCATGTGGCAAGTGCACTTGACTCATCTTAATGGACTATAATTGTCAGTTTTCCTGTCGAAGGTTATGGTTCTCTAACGTACTACCACTAGCCAATGAATCCAAATACAGATTAAATTGCAGCATAATTCCTTGAAGTTCCCCAAAAAACCTTTCACTTCCATTTCTGATCTGTGGCTTTCAACATTTTAACCTCAAACTAGATCAACATACCCTTAATTAATATTCTGACTCCAGCCAACCAGTCTATAAATTAAGATGTGGTATGATTGCTGATGAGACAACTATTCTATAGGTGCTCCAAAGTTCAAATGAGGCTAATTATAAGCAGCTAAATGTTGCTGTACAGCCTTCAACAATGAGCAAAATCAATACTGTATACCAGGAAGTTTTCTATATAATCCCTAGGACAAAACTAGGGGAGATGATTCAAACAAGAATTAACAGACTAATTTATAACCAAATAATTTATGAAAAACAAATATGACAGACAAGTACTTCTTCTAAATGGATTGTGTCCTTGGCATTGAAGCTGCAAATACCAGTTTTTATGTCTGACCTAGCCTCATGGACATAGTCGGTCATCAAAATTGATGAATTATGCTAGGGTCAAGATATTTGTAACAAACTCATACCTTTGAAGAGGAACTAAATAAGGACCTTTCAATTTTTCAACAAACAGAAACATTTCTATGTAATTGTTCTTTATTAAAAAGAGAGACAAACATATGGTAACATAGAAAAACATGCACCCTGCATTAAAAAACCCTATAGGGAAAAAGCATGGGTGTGTAATTGTAACAGATATTTCAAGAGTACAATTGTCATGAACAAACAGGGTTGTTAGTGGAAGAACTATATATTACATCGAGACTACCACATGTAAAATTGTCATGAATAACGAAAACAGGGTTATTATCAACAGTGTGAAAGTTCAATTAAATCAATTTCATGGACAGGGTTTTTCATTTTGTTAGATAAATCTTTGTAAAACAGGCAAAATTTCGTAGCATATAAAATGCAGATATATAGAGGTAAATATCTATTTTGTGTTCGACAGAGCTGATGAAATACTAAACATTTCGAGTTTAATAAAACTTGATCAAAAACACCTTCAAATATTGGAGATTAATCTTGTTACACAGAAATTAGTATCTTAATAATTCTGTAACACTTAATTAAAATCAATCAATTAATCATTAATCCCAATAAGAAACCTTAACCTATAACTACTTATTAAAAGGGTGGGGGTGGGGTGGGGTGGGTGACGAAAGGAGGGGTGAATCAAACTTAAAATAAGGGTGTTGACCAAGCTGTCACCATTATTCTGTAGTCATTATATTTGGGACACGAAATTGGGCTTGGGGCAAATAATATCAGATGCATTTTTGTAGATGATGACTTGTAAATAAAATTTGAAATCCCCATGCCAAACCAAACCCCTTAATGCATTATCTAGACCTCTGTTTACAAGCTTTTTTTTTTACAGAGCTCTAAAGAATACTTTCATCTTACTTTATATACATCTGATATAACTTATCTAACTTACATTGATAAATAAAAAAATGATAACTTATATATTCTAAATTGTTGACCTTCCGTGCAGTGACAGAATTTACAAGTACGAAGAGAAAAGCAGGGGTAATCCCTCCCCTTACGCCTCAATCTCAGCCTGCTAGTCTCTCCATTCACCAAAATAAATGTTAGTCAGGAAGGCAACTAAAGCAATTCTGTAAAAAATAACAAAACATTTTATACACAAAAAATATCAGATGCATAAAAAAAAAAAAATCATTGTAAATATACCGAAAATATTTAACCCACATTTCATACCACCCAGTTATTATCTAGAACTCTGATTGCAATTATTTTTTTTTTCTTTTTTTTCTTTCTTTTTTTTTTTTTTCTTTTTTTTTTTTTTTTTTACAGAGCTCCAAATAACAACTCTCTTCAAATCGTATACATCTGATATGAACAACATTTGTACAAAACCTTTACCAAAGGAACTAACCAGTATGAAAAGATAAGCAGGGGTATTCCCTCCCCTTATACCTAAATCTCAGCCTGCCAGTCTTCCCATTCATCACAACTGGTGTTCCTGATAATTTACAGAACACTATAAAAAAGAGTGTTGTACATCTAGATTGGACATAGTGTGATGATAACTATAAAGATAATATACACTTGCAGTGCATCCTTAATTTTGTACTATGCTGAATACTTGTAGTTAATCTTCAACTAATCAATCAAATTTAAATAAATACAATTTAAAAATTCATAGAATAGCTTCTGTTTTCCCTGTTTGTCCTTCATTCACACAAAAAAAGGATTTATTATTTTAATGAAATAATGCAAAACTGTCTCAAATAAATGTTTATACATTTTCCATCCTCATTCTAATGATAATACTTCTTTATAAATAGTAATCATAAATGTATTCAAGATTGCATAATGAAACTGTACAAAATACCACAAATTATTATTTTTATATTTTTTTTGTCATTCCTCACAGATTTATTCTAATGTAACCAAAACATCTTTGAAAAAAGAGATTTAAACCAATGGCAGCTGCCTGATTGTTCTCACTGGTCACACTAAAGTCCTCTACTTTAACTACTTCATGTATTAACTATGATCATTTAAGGGAGAACTGTAGGCCTCTGAAATTCTAATGTAATCGACATGTCTGGTTAAAAAGAGATAAATCTTTACAACTGACTCTCTCCTATCCTTCCTCTCTCTCTCTCTCTCTATTGATTTTTACAAGAATACTAATACACTTTATTGTTTGTCAATAATTGTTTCCAAGTTCATCCACATGGCAAAGTCTCTTCTTCTGTATCAGTTCATTTGTAATTTCTCAAGCTCAGTTAATCTACAAAGAAACAACAAAATGTCAATTAAAACATGGCAATTAAATTGACAAAATAACATTTTTAATTCTTGATATGTCAGAAGTGATTCATACCATATATACATATAGGATTGATTGATTGATTGATGCATGCTTAATGTCCAGTGATCAATATATCATGCATATTTTGAACATGCTCAAGGTGGTATGGTTGTCTTTCACCATCTTGGATTGTAAAAAACAGAGAATCTATATAAGGTCCAGATTTTCAATCAAGTTAGCAAAATTAGATGCAGAAATGTAGATAACTTATGTGAATTTGCATTTCAAAGAACAAATTTATAAGATTATAACTCATAAATATTAATATTTTTACAAGATTATTTCTGCTTGAATTTTAATAATTTCAAATTGGCATTTTAAGTGAAGTAACTCTGAAATAGTGCATTTTCTGAAGGAATCTACTTGGAATTTTGCTATTTTGAATTTTAGCCAGATAAAACGCACTGTGACCCTATCTTTTCTTTAGATATTCTCAAAGCATTTTCTAAAAGCTAACTTTTCGTATTCTATTTTACAATTCTATCATTTAGTTTAGCTTCTAATCACATAATGATGTTTTTTCCTGTATAATCCATACAAAATGTGTCATTTTGTCACTACCTGTAGCTTGAGAAAATGTGCTGTGACCTATCATTTTTATTATATTTTTCGCTTTGGCAAAGTATGAACAAATTCTATCATTTTTAATTTAGACTCTCCCATACCACCTTAAAGGAAAGTTTCCATGCCATTTTAATTTTTGCATCACATTTATAAGCATTAAACATAACATATAACTCAGAAACGAGAGTATTTAAACTTGCTAGTATCAATGTTTCTTATCAAAATTTCAAACTTTCAAATATTTTGGTCAAGACTGTGTGGCTCAGGTCTTTGCTCATTGTTGAAGGCTGTACGGTGACCTCTAGTTGTTAATTTCTGTGTCATTTTGGTCTCTTGTGGAGAGTTGTCTCATTGGCAATCATACCACATCTTCTCTCTTTTTTTATATTAACAGTATTATGGATAAAAAAGGTATGATGATAATCAAGTTTCCATTGTATAATTGCAGGAGCAATATTTCATAACCATTTTGTTTTTACTGTAAACTTACCTTGAAGTTGGTAATATAGTACTTCCAGGTCCTACTGTCCTAAGATCTTTAAATAGATCGCATACAATTCTTATTTCCTAGATATCTGAAGAAGAAAAAATCATGTACAGTCACATCCTTAAGGATGTACTTAGGTGAGGTTTTGGAATTTGTGTTAAATGTTCGGACTCCTTGGTGTTTTTCAATACGATACAAGGTAAAATATTTTGCCCCATAACACCCATTTATTTTTTCATATAAGACTTAATAGCTCATAAAAGGTCATTTTACAAAATTTCAGCAGATTCTTGATTTTTTTTCTTTTGATTTGAGACCCAAATTATACCAATGCAAATATAAGGTAAAAGTCTGAGCCAGCCTTTTCCTGCCATATTTTATAAATCAAATATCTCGAAAAGGAGCTCCATGACCTATCAATATTTTTAGTTTATTTTGATTCTTAACTAATACTCTTTCAGCTTAAAGTATCAATTTTGAATGCTTGATTTATTCATTTTTACCTTATATCACCTAAGTACATCCTTAAAAATGCTTATATGGAATTTTAATTATAAGTCAAAGTAGGATTTGATTTGATTTGATTTTTGGTGTTTTAACGCCACTTTTAAGCACTGCTTTTGGGCTATTTCGTGGCGGCCAGTTTTTATTGGTGGAGGAAGCCGGAGTACCCAGAGAAAACCACCGACCTTCGATAGGAAAACTGACAATCCTAGTCAATTAAGATTGGAGTCAAGTGCACCCGCACGAGTGGGTTTCGAACTCACAACCTCAGTGTTGACTGGCTAGTGATTACAGTAGTAACTAGTTAGACCACTCGGCCACCGAGGCCCCCGTCAAAGTAGGACAATTTTCCACTAAGTACTTTACTGGGCTGTGCAAACTTAAAGTACTGTTTCAGATTTTTATTTCTTTTAAGGTTATGCATGATTTTAATGTTACAGGTCAATTTTTGACTTGTAAAGAGTAGTTTTTCACAACAGTCGCTACCAGTGGAGTCAAAGCTGCTTATCCTTTATTTTCTATTCAGAGCAAGTAAGTGTATATATCCTTCATTGTGGTGGGGTTTGTATTACTAAATCTATTTTCTGGATGATTTTTTTTTTTATTGCTCCAATGCAAAAACTACCGGTGCAAAAAAATTTGGTTGTACACTTTATCAGAATATATTAATGAAGACCTTTGGCTTAATGCATTTATCTTGATAGCTTTTCTGAAAACACAGTGAATTAACACACCAAAAATAAAATAAGAGCTATAATGTTAATTGCAACATGTAATCAGAGTAATGTTGCCATGTTTTTTTTTAGTATTATTACCTTGTCTTTTGTATGTAACAGCTTCAGACTCAGTTGTGATGTGCCTTTCTGTGAGATTTATCAGTTTATAGTCCACTAGTACTGTCCATCCACATGAATACTGGTCACATCAAAATAAATGTCAATAATTCACTTGCTGGTTACAATTCTGAATTTTAAGTCTATTAACTTCAGTCAGTTCCATGTTTGAATATTTCATTGTCCACTATTCTAACTGGTCGCATATATCATCATACAATAAGTCCATTAAGTCAAGACATTAAAAAACTGGTTATTATTAGAATATTTCATTATCACTATAGTTGTTACCTATTTGATTCCACACATCTTCTATCCTTGTGCCATTACTGGTATATTTTTTTTTAAATAGGCAAAAAATTCAAAAGTGCCTATTTAATGTAATTTTTTCAGAAAATTTAGAAGCTTTTTCAATGTTTATTTAAAAAAGTTTAATTACCAAATAATTTTATTTAAAGAAAGAATAATTTAAATCATAATTTGATGAAAATGTTAACTATCAGCTGTAGGGGAGCTTACAAAGTATACACAAAATTCACATGAAAGAAAGATAGTTCTTGCAGCCTTGTGGCTCAATCTCTGGTGGATAATTCTCATTGGCATTCTTACTAAATCCCATTGGCATTCTACCCACATCTCATTAAAATTCTAACCATATCTCATTGGCATTATTACCACATCTCATTAGTAATCATTAGCGCATCTCATTAGCATTATTACCACATCTCATTAGCATTATTACCACATCTCATTAGCTTTATAACCACATCTCATTAGCTTTATTACCACATCTCATTAGCTTTCTTAGCACATATCATTAGCTCTGTTACCACATCTAATTTGCATTCTTAGCGCATCTCATTAGCTCTATTACCACATCTCATTTGCATTCTTAGCGCATCTCATCAGCTTTATAACCACATCTCATTAGCTTTATTACCACATCTCATTAGCATTATTACAACATATCTTTAGCTTTATAACCACATCTCATTAGCTTTATTACCACATCTCATTAGCTTTACTACCACATCTCATTAGTTTTATTACCACATCTCATTAGCTTTCTTAGCACATATCATTAGCTCTATTACCACATCTCATTTGCCTTTTTAGCACATCTCATCAGCTTCATAACCAAATCTCATTAGCTTTATTACCACATCTCATTAGCTTTATTACCACATATCTTTAGCTTTATAACCACATCTCATTTGCATTCTTAGCGCATCTCATTAGCTCTATTACCACATCTCATTTGCATTCTTAGCACATCTCATCAGCTTTATAGCCACATCTCATTTGCATTCTTAGCGCATCTCATCAGCTTTATAACCACATCTTATTAGCTTTATTACCACATCTCATTAGCTTTATTACCACATCTCATTAGCATTATTACAACATATCTTTAGCTTTATAACCACATCTCATTGGCATTTTTACCACATTTCATTTGCATTCTTTAGCGCATCTCATTAGTTGTATTAACACATCTCATTGGCATTCTAAGCACATCTCATTGGCATTTTTACCACATCTCATTTACATTCTCCATTGATCACTGGACCAATTATTCTATTTATTTAGAGAATAAACCTTTAACAGATTTTTAAATTGCTTTTCTGAAAATCTTGAATAAGATAAAAAGAGGATCTGAGGTATATTTCAATGAGACAGCATGCCAACAACACACTTAACAATATAATTAAGATGGCAAAAATTATATTCTGTGATAATAGGTGTCTAAAAAATTATTAAATGTTGTGGCCAAATAATAAGTACCTTTGATAATTTTTTTTCTCGTACCAAAAAAGCTTAAGATTATAAAGGTCACTGTTTTTACTTCATATTTTTTATCCAATAAAAGTGTTTTAGGCATGGAAAATTCTATTACAAAGTTAATAAGGTTTCATTTGGCCAGGAGGAGGCTAATTTTGTATTTACAAACTAACAAATCTGAAAGCTGCTTTAAGCATTTAAATTATTTTGATGGGTTTAGTATTTTTTTACCATTGGAGAGTTATGTCCCTTATTATTAGAAAAGATTTGTTTTTCTAATTATAAATTTCACAATGTACCACTTTACAAAACTGAAAAGATTTATTTTGGAAGATTCAAAATTTAAAATCTTATATTGTTTCCTTTAAATAAAAAGGGCTTCTGCAACAATTATCTTTAACGTTTGTGCTGAAACTAAATTGGAAATTTGGATATAATTACTTTTTAATCTAAAACATGATAAAGGATGTTTTTTGTTTATTCAGACATCTACACTTTTAATCAGCAATACCTCAAACCATAACAAACATTTCAACAGAAACTTTGGACAACATTAAGACACTGAAGGTCAGTGTTTTTTCAGGTGCCATTTATATGGCTTCCGCCAATAAAAACTGGCAGCCTTGTAATAGCCAGGAGTACTACAAGTGGCGTTGAAACAGTCATATCTTTCCAGAATAGATAAATAGCTTGTAGTTACTGAATTTTGACAGGCTAGACTGGCTGTTGTTATACAAATTATTAAGGGTTTTTTCCAATGCAAATATTTATTATGCCTCATTTATGGGCATTATGTTTTCTAGTCTGTGCCTCCGTTCGTTCGTCCTGCTTCAGGTAAAAGTTTTTGGATGAGGTAGTTTTTGATGAAGTCCAATCAACTTGAAACTTTGTACACATGTTCCCTATGATATCATCTTTCTAATTTTAATGCCAAATTAGAGTTTTTTCCTCCATTTTCAAAGTCCACTGAACATAGAAAATGATAGTGAGGATGGGGCATCCGTGTACTATGGACACAATCTTATATGTCTTTACCAAATAGGAAGGGAGAAAGGGTTCAGGGGCGGAACCAGCAATCTTTAAAAAAAGGGGGATCCAACCCAGGAGAAAGTGTGGGTTTTAAATATATATCCCCATTCAAATGCACTATCATTAAAAAAAAAAGGGGGGTTCCAACCCAAACCCCTGGATTGGCCACTGGGGTCATAAAAATTTTACAGACTTGGAAATAATTTTGAAATGTAATAGACCCATTATTTTAAAACAAAGACTTTCAGACTGGATTTGCATACCAAAAATAAAAATTGGTTTGTATACATTCCTACTCATATTCATATTGTTAACAAGAAGTTCTCTTTCTAAAAGAAGATATTAAAAACCTATCCCTCTACAAGACTAGTACCTTAAACCCTTATCTGAAAACTCACTCCATCAGTCTCTATTCTCTCTCCCCTCTCCCCCCTCATTTCTCTCCCTCTCTTGTCTTCCATCCTTCCAACCTATTTAATTAAGTACCAATTGTTAGTAATGGTTAGTGTTGATACTTTAAGAATAAGATGTTTTTTATATTAAGATACAACCTGTAGAGGGATGGAAAATTTTGCATGGAGACATACTTTTCAATTAAATATTTTTAAACCAAATATAAAAATTTATGATTTCTGTTACTACTAGGAATTGAACAACAGAATGAGTAACAGTTCATTTTCAAATAAACAAAAATAAAATGAATATGAATATTTTAAAAAGAATACTTTTCACTACCAATTATAACCTCCTCAATGGTCCTATGCTTGCCTGATGTGTTGGAGGTAAAGGGCTCTATCCCATGTATGGACAAACCAAAGACTTTAAAAGGGGTATTTGCTGCTTCTCCCTTAAGCAAGTAGTATTTAAAAGTAAGAGCAAAGTCTAGTTGACTCTGAGTCAGAATAATGTATCCGGAAGGGTTGGAGATCTTTCTCAGACTAACATCCTTTACTTTGGGAAATTTCCAAAATTATACTGATAAACCTTGCATTACGAAATTGGTATCTTAAATGTTCTGTTCTGAAAGTTCCTTTAAAAATCTGTAAAATGGTTTAGGAATAGCTGATACATATATGTTCTACATCTGATTTTTAAGGGCAATTTGATCTAAACTTTGAAAATTTGAAAAAATTATTTCACCATTTTTTAACTTTATCTTTAACATCAGACATGAATTATGGTTTTATTAAAATTTAAAGGGAATATATCATTATTCCTTTTCATTTATAAATTTCAATATTATTTTATCTTGAAATTTCCAAATGAAGGACAAAAGGTATTAACATTATTTATCTTTATTTAAAATGTATTAACTAATCTTTTGACCTTTTTTTGTTTGTGTTGTTGGTTGCTGTTCACTTACATATATCAAAACAATCCTCAGAAATAAAAATGTATACTCTTAATTATATTTAATTCCAGTTAAAAGAATGTATCCATTCCGTATCATGATATAATTAAATCCAAAATTCCAGTTAAAAGAATGTATCCATTCCGTATCATGATATAATTAAATCCAAAATTCCAGTTAAAAGAATGTATCCATTCCGTATCATGATATAATTAAATCCAAAATTCCAGTTAAAAGAATGTATCCATTCCGTATCATGATATAATTAAATCCAAAATTCCAGTTAAAAGAATGTATCCATTCCGTATCATGATATAACTAAATCCTCCAAATTCCAGTTAAAAGAATGTATCCATTCTGTATCATGATATAATTAAATCCCAAATTCCAGTTAAAAGAATGTATCCATTCCGTATCATGATATGATTAAATCCCCCAAATTCAAATTAAAAGATTATGTATCCATTCCGTATCATGATATAATTAAATCCCCCAAATTCAGTTTAAAGAATGTATCCATTCTGTATCATGATATAATTAAATCCCAAATTCCAGTTAAAGGAATATATCCATTCCGTATCATGATATAATTAAATCCCAAATTCCAGTTAAAAGAATGTATCCATTCCGTATCATGGTATAATTAAATCCAAAATTCAAGTTAAAAGAATGTATCCATTCCGTATCATGATATAATTAAATCCCCCAAATTCAAATTAAAAGATTATGTATCCATTCCGTATCATGATATAATTAAATCCCCCAAATTCAGTTAAAAGAATGTATCCATTCTGTATCATGATATAATTAAATCCCAAATTCCAGTTAAAGGAATATATCCATTCCGTATCATGATATAATTAAATCCCAAATTCCAGTTAAAAGAATGTATCCATTCCGTATCATGGTATAATTAAATCCAAAATTCAAGTTAAAAGAATGTATCCATTCCGTATCATGATATAATTAAATCCAAAATTCCAGTTAAAAGAATGTATCCATTTGGTATCATGATATAATAAAATACCCCAAATTCAGTTAAAAGAATGTATCCATTCCGTATCATGATGTAATTAAATCCAAAATTCCAGTTAAAAGAATGTATCCATTCCGTATCATGGTATAATTAAATCCAAAATTCCAGTTAAAAGAATGTATCCATTCTGTATCATGATATAATTAAATCCCAAATTCCAGTTAAAAGAATGTATCCATTCCGTATCATGATATGATTAAATCCCCCAAATTCAAATTAAAAGATTATGTATCCATTCCGTATCATGATATAATTAAATCCCCCAAATTCAGTTTAAAGAATGTATCCATTCTGTATCATGATATAATTAAATCCCAAATTCCAGTTAAAGGAATATATCCATTCCGTATCATGATATAATTAAATCCCAAATTCCAGTTAAAAGAATGTATCCATTCCGTATTATGGTATAATTAAATCCAAAATTCAAGTTAAAAGAATGTATCCATTCCGTATCATGATATAATTAAATCCCCCAAATTCAAATTAAAAGATTATGTATCCATTCCGTATCATGATATAATTAAATCCCCCAAATTCAGTTAAAAGAATGTATCCATTCTGTATCATGATATAATTAAATCCCAAATTCCAGTTAAAGGAATATATCCATTCCGTATCATGATATAATTAAATCCCAAATTCCAGTTAAAAGAATGTATCCATTCCGTATCATGGTATAATTAAATCCAAAATTCAAGTTAAAAAAATGTATCCATTCCGTATCATGATATAATTAAATCCAAAATTCCAGTTAAAAGAATGTATCCATTTGGTATCATGATATAATAAAATACCCCAAATTCAGTTAAAAGAATGTATCCATTCCGTATCATGATGTAATTAAATCCAAAATTCCAGTTAAAAGAATGTATCCATTCCGTATCATGGTATAATTAAATCCAAAATTCAAGTTAAAAGAAGGTATCCAATCCGTATCATGATATAATTAAATCCAAAATTCCAGTTAAAAGAACGTATCCATTCCGTATCATGATATAATTAAATCCAAAATTCCAGTTAAAAGAATGTATCCATTCCCTATCATGATATAATTAAATCCAAAATTCCAGTTAAAAGAATGTATCCATTCCGTATCATGATATAACTAAATCCAAAATTCCAGTTAAAAGAAAGTATCCATTCCGTATCATGACATGCCTAATAAATTAAATCCAAATTTCCAGTTAAAAGAATGTATCCATTCCGTATCATGATATAACTAAATCCAAAATTCCAGTTAAAAGAATGTATCCATTCCGTATCATGATATAATTAAATCCCAAATTCCAGTTAAAAGAATGTATCCATTTGGTATCTTGATATAATTAAATGCCCCAAATTCAAATTAAAAGAATGTATCCATTCTGTATCATGATATAACTAAATCCCCCAAATTCAAATTAAAAGAATGTATCCATTCTGTATCATGATATAAATAAATCCCAAATTCCAGTTAAAAGAATGTATCCATTCTGTATCATGATATAATTAAATCCCAAATTCCAGTTAAAAGAATGTATCCATTCCGTATCATGATATAATTAAATCCCAAATTCCAGTTAAAAGAATGTATCCATTCTGTTTCATGATATAATTAAATCCCAAATTCCAGTTAAAAGAATGTATCCATTCCCTATCGTGATATAATTAAATCCCAAATTCCAGTTAAAAGAATGTATCCATTCCCTATCATGATATAATTAAATCCCAAATTCCAGTTAAAAGAATGTATCCATTCCGTATCATGATATAATTAAATCCAAAATTCCAGTTAAAAGAATGTATCCATTCCGTATCATGATATAATTAAATCCCAAAATTCCAGTTAAAAGAATGTTATTATCCATTCCGTATCATGATATAATTAAATCCCAAATTCCAGTTAAAAGAATGTATCCATTCTGTATCATGATATAATTAAATCCCAAATTCCAGTTAAAAGAATGTATCCATTCCATATCATGATATAATTAAATCCCAAATTCCAGTTAAAAGAATGTATCCATTCTGTATCATGATATAATTAAATCCCAAATTCAAGTTAAAAGAATGTATCCATTCCGTATCATGATATAATTAATTCCCCTAAATTCAGTTAAAAGAATGTATCCATTCCGTATCATGATATAATTAAATCCCAAATTCAAGTTAAAAGAATGTATCCATTCCGTATCATGATATAATTAAATCCCAAAATTCCAGTTAAAAGAATGTTATTATCCATTCCGTATCATGATATAATTAAATCCCAAATTCCAGTTAAAAGAATGTATCCATTCCATATCATGATATAATTAAATCCCAAATTCCAGTTAAAAGAATGTATCCATTCTGTATCATGATATAATTAAATCCCAAATTCAAGTTAAAAGAATGTATCCATTCCGTATCATGATATAATTAATTCCCCTAAATTCAGTTAAAAGAATGTATCCATTCCGTATCATGATATAATTAAATCCCAAATTCAAGTTAAAAGAATGTATCCATTCTGTATCATGATATAACTAAATCCTCCAAATTCCAGTTAAAAGAATGTATCCATTCCTTATCATGATATAATTAAATCCAAAATTCCAGTTAAAAGAATGTATCCATTCCGTATCATGATATAATTAAATCCCCCAAATTCAAATTAAAAGAATGTATCCATTCCGTATCATGATATAATTAAATCCCCCAAATTCCTGTTAAAAGAATGTATCCATTCCGTATCATGATATAATTAAATCCCCCAAATTCAAATTAAAAGAATGTATCCATTCCGTATCATGATATAATTAAATCCCAAAATTCCAGTTAAAAGAATGTTATTATCCATTCCGTATCATGATATAATTAAATCCCAAATTCCAGTTAAAAGAATGTATCCATTCTGTATCATGATATAATTAAATCCCAAATTCCAGTTAAAAGAATGTATCCATTCCATATCATGATATAATTAAATCCCAAATTCCAGTTAAAAGAATGTATCCATTCCGTATCATGATATAATTAAATCCCAAAATTCCAGTTAAAAGAATGTTATTATCCATTCCGTATCATGATATAATTAAATCCCAAATTCCAGTTAAAAGAATGTATCCATTCTGTATCATGATATAATTAAATCCCAAATTCCAGTTAAAAGAATGTATCCATTCCATATCATGATATAATTAAATCCCAAATTCCAGTTAAAAGAATGTATCCATTCTGTATCATGATATAATTAAATCCCAAATTCAAGTTAAAAGAATGTATCCATTCCGTATCATGATATAATTAATTCCCCTAAATTCAGTTAAAAGAATGTATCCATTCCGTATCATGATATAATTAAATCCCAAATTCAAGTTAAAAGAATGTATCCATTCCGTATCATGATATAATTAAATCCCAAAATTCCAGTTAAAAGAATGTTATTATCCATTCCGTATCATGATATAATTAAATCCCAAATTCCAGTTAAAAGAATGTATCCATTCCATATCATGATATAATTAAATCCCAAATTCCAGTTAAAAGAATGTATCCATTCTGTATCATGATATAATTAAATCCCAAATTCAAGTTAAAAGAATGTATCCATTCCGTATCATGATATAATTAATTCCCCTAAATTCAGTTAAAAGAATGTATCCATTCCGTATCATGATATAATTAAATCCCAAATTCAAGTTAAAAGAATGTATCCATTCTGTATCATGATATAACTAAATCCTCCAAATTCCAGTTAAAAGAATGTATCCATTCCTTATCATGATATAATTAAATCCAAAATTCCAGTTAAAAGAATGTATCCATTCCGTATCATGATATAATTAAATCCCCCAAATTCAAATTAAAAGAATGTATCCATTCCGTATCATGATATAATTAAATCCCCCAAATTCCTGTTAAAAGAATGTATCCATTCCGTATCATGATATAATTAAATCCCCCAAATTCAAATTAAAAGAATGTATCCATTCCGTATCATGATATAATTAAATCCAAAATTCAAGTTAAAAGAATGTATCCATTCTGTATCATGATATTATTAAATCCCCCAAATTCCAGTTAAAAGAATGTATCTATTCCGTATCATGATATAATTAAATCCCAAATTCAAGTTAAAAGAATGTATCCATTCCGTATCATGATATAATTAAATCCCAAATTCAAGTTAAAATAATGGACCCATTTCTGCATCACGATATAATTAAACCCCAAGCATTTTTTTTCTTTTTTTTTTTCTATTTTTCTTAAAATCATTAAAAACCATCACCCATGCATATTTTTTTTTATTTTTTTTTTTACTATTTTTCTTAAAATCATTAAAAACCATCACCCATGCATATTTTTTTTTTTTTCTATTTTTCTTAAAATCATTAAAAACCATCACCCATGCATTTTTTTGTTTTTTTTCTATTTTTCTTAAAATCATTAAAAACCATCACCCATGCATTTTTTTGTTTTTTTTCTATTTTTCTTAAAATCATTAAAAACCATCACCCATGCATATTTTTTTTTCTTTTTTTTTTTACTATTTTTCTTAAAATCATTAAAAACCATCACCCATGCATATTTTTGTTTTTTTTCTATTTTTCTTAAAATCATTAAAAACCATCACCCATGCATTTTTTTGTTTTTTTTCTATTTTTCTTAAAACTATATACACATTTGACACTATCCACATTTTCATAAATAATTTTTCTGCTTCCTTCTGAAAATCTTTAACAAAAATATTGAAAAACAGTTTTGAAATGGTCATTCCCCTTTTTACACAAAAATTTGACAACTTAAATATGTTACATTTACAATAAAATTTACAAATTATTTAAAAACAACAAAAGTGTGAAAAGAGATATAGGTACCAAACTTACTTTTCTGAAACATGTGTATCCATTTCTTTGAGTTCAAAGTTCATTGTAAAGCCAAGTCTGTCATCAATACAAACTGAACAACTAAATTTGGATTCCAATGGATATCAGATACCAGTAAATTTGGAGCATGCAGTGCACCTATGGATTCGAATTTGATTTTTTGGTGTTTTAACGCCACTTTTAAGCACTACTTTGGCTATTTCATGGCGGCCAGTTTGTATTGGTGGAGGAAGCCAGAGTGCCTGGAGAAAACCACTGACCTTCAATAGGAAAACTGACAACCCTAAGTCAATTAAGATTGGAGTCATGTGCACCCGCACGAGCGGGGTTCGAACTCACAACCTCAGTGTTGACTGGCTAGTGTTTACAGTAGTAACTACTTAGACCACTTGGCCACCGAGGCTCCCATGTTCCTATGGATACCTTATTTACATTGGTAAGACACATGTGATGTTCCTATGGATGCCTTTATTACTTTGGAGAGGAACATGTGATGTTCCTATGGATACCTTTATTACTTTGGAGAGAAACATGTGATGTTCCTATGGATACCTTCATTACTTTGAAGAGGAACATGTGATGTTCCTATGGATACCTTCATTACTTTGGAGAGGAACATGTGATGTTCCTATGGATACCTTTATTACTTTGGAGAGGAACATGTGATGTTCCTATGGATACCTTTATTACTTTGGAGAGGAACATGTGATGTTCCTATGGATACCTTCATTACTTTGGAGAGAAACATGTGATGTTCCTATGGATACCTTCATTACTTTGGAGAGAAACATGTGATGTTCCTATGGATACCTTTTTTACTTTGGAGCGGAACATGTACCGTAATGTTCCTATGGGTATATTAATTTCTGGTAAAAATGGGACATGTTCCCATGGATACTCTAAATTCAGGGAACATCTAATTTACCAAATTTAAAACTTTAAAAAGAAGTTTAGAAAAGGACGGAGGATCTTTTTATCACTTATTTAAATTCTGTATCTTTAGGTTTCCTTCCCCCTTTTTTCTGTTAAAATTTGTTCTTTATTTTTTTTTAAGAGGGGAGGCTATTTCAATTAATCTAAATTTTAAATATTTGGCTTCCATTCTCTGTTTCACTTTAAAATTTATCTAAACGAAGGAGATGTATGAAACATATATTTGATTTGAAGGAAAATTTAACAGTTATTAAAAGTTAATATGAAGGATTTGTTTATTCTGGGTTTTTTATAATTTGTCCTTTATTATTAATTGAAAATGACTTTAGGGATTATGTTATTGAGACAGCAACTAAACAACACAAAAAAACTGGTCCCCAGAGGTCAATATAGTCTCCAACAAAAACAAGTTTCTATACTATAGGTCAAGTACTTAATTGTATGTTTTTGTGTTTTTTTTACAACACAAAATTGTTTAAATAGAGTGAGATTTTATTTACTCAATTTTAATGAAAAGAATTCAGAAACACGCATAAATGTTTAAACCAAAGGTTTCTAATTAAATGTTCAATTGATATTTTAAAGTTTAAAAGGTACACTTTGGTTCTTGTTTGACAACTTTAAGAAAGACCACTTTAATGGTTAATTTGAACACTGGAATATCTTTATTAAAAACTGAAAGTTTAAACGGGAATATTTTTTCATTATCATTTTTATCCAAAAGTACTGGGGTATTTGTGCTCCACAAACTTAAAAGCAACAATAAAATCATCACAACAATGTGAATACAACATTAACACATAACTTACTTCATTCAATAGACAGCAACTCTTTCCCCATTCCCTCTTTTATCTCCCCCAGTTCACCAGGCCCTGGATGTCCCCTTCTCCCTCTTTTATCTCCCCCAGTTCACCAGGCCCTGGATGTAACCTTCTCCCTCTTTTATCTCCCCAAATACACCAGGTCCTGGGTTTCCCCTCTCCTTTTATCTCCCCACTTCACCAGAGTCCCTGGGTTTCCATTCCCCTTTCTTTAAGCCCTAAAATCCCAGGCCAAGGTATTTCCCTTATTCCTCCCTACCTGCCCAAAATCCAAATCCCAGGTCAATTTTAAATAGATGTTGCTATATTGGGCTAGGGGTTAATTAAATAGAACAATGAAAGAAAACATCAGCAAGCCAGCATAAGCTTTACATGTTAATTTATATATGCAATGCTAATTATCCTATGCAGGTATGCAGGTTTATGCAGATTGTGCAGTGTTAGATACATTGTTATACTTGACTTGCCAGTGTTAACTTTGTATACTTTATATTTTTGTAAAAAAAGAAAGTTGAACCCAGCAAGTTATGTAATAATGTTGTACTCAGACACTATAATAATGCAATATCATTCACATCAAGTTGTTGAAAGCCCAAATCTTTTGCTGAATTAAAAATTTTAAACTCATTTAATTGCAAGAAAAAAGAATTTTTAATTATTTTGCTTTATTATTATTTTTTATAGATATTTAGTTAAATTTGTCTACTCTTTTCTTTATAGATATTTAGTTAATTTAGTCTACTTTTTTCTTTATAGATATTTAGTAAATTTAGTTGACTTTTTTCTTTAAAGATATTTAGTAAATTTTGTGGACTTTTTTCTTTATAGATATTTAGTAAATTTTGTGGACTTTTTTCTTTATAGATATTTAGTAAATTTTGTGGACTTTTTTCTTTATAATATTTAGTAAAATTTAGTCGACTTTTTTCTTTATAGATATTTTGTAAATTTTGTGGACTATTTTCTTTATAGATATTTAGTAAATTTTGTGGACTTTTTTCTTTATAGATATTTAGTAAATTTTGTGGACTTTTTTCTATATAGATATTTAGTAAATTTAGTTAACTTTTTTCTTTATAGATATTTAGTAAATTTTGTGGACTTTTTTCTTTATAGATATTTAGTAAATTTTGTGGACTTTTTCTTTATAGATATTTAGTAAATTTTGTGGACTTTTTTCTTTAAAGATATTCAGTAAATTTTGTGGACTTTTTTCTTTATAGATATTTAGTAAATTTTGTCGACTTTTTTCTTTATAGATATTTAGTAAAATGTAGTCGACTTTTTTCTTTATAGATATTTAGTAAATTTTGTCGACTTTTTTCTTTAAAGATATTTAGTAAATTTTGTCGACTTTTTTCTTTATAGATATTTAGTAAATTTTGTTGACTAATTTTGAACTATAAACACTAAACATATTGTATAGATGCCTATCTTTGTTGAAGACTATGTTGACCTAAAGACGCCTTGTTTTTGTTGTTTGTTAAGTACCCCTCATTGATGTATACCAAATATATTCTTTAATTTATCAGAAGCTGCCAAATTAAGATACAGAAACCTTATTTAATATTTTTTTAAATTTTAAAAGAGTGGTCAAGGTTAAAATGAACAAATGCGAAATTTTTGGGATGTTTAAAAGGAAATTAGTGATATTTTCTTTTTTTGTTTGACTTCTGATCTGTTACTTTTTATAAAAGCTCTCAATGAATTATAAAACAGAAGTGGTAATTTTATCCTTTCATCCAGAAGTGAAAATTGCTGAAAAAAATTCCTTTATTTAAACTATGAAATTTATGTAGGGGACTTTAATGTTCATTTTCTTTCTAAAGGGTGGTGACAATTTAATGTTTTAAATGAGTCAAAGGAAATATTTTGTATTTTTCATCAAAATTTCAAAAGCTAAATGGAATGTTGCACTGTTATGCTGGATTTTTATGCCCCATACATGGACATTATGTTTTCTGGTCTTACCCGGTCGTCTGTTTGTCGATCCTTTCTTTTGTTTGTCTGTTCGTTCGTCTGTCACACTTCAGGTTAAAAGTTACTCTGGTATTAGATGCAACTTTTAAATTTAAAATTTTAACAGGATGTGGCTATGTATTAACTTAACGGTGGCTAATCTTTCGCAAGTGTTTAACTGCCAGTCAGAAGAAGACCAAGGGATGACCATATTTTTATACCCCAGTCAACCCTTGGGGAAGGGAGCTATTTTTGTGAAAATAGGTACACATATATTTAAAGCTGTTTAGCAGGAATATGCTTCTTACATGTGCTTGTTGCTTTTAAGCAATTAATCATATCTGTGATCCTGCTTACAGATATAATCATTCTGTAGAAGTAAACATTGACTTTGACCTGACACTGCATATCTTTGACCTTACAAATAACCATTCTTACAAATAGTTTGATCTTAAATCTAGTAGACCTCTACACTTTAAAGGAGTAATGACCATTCTATTCTTGTCAATGTTGACCTGAACTTTTAACCTCTAACCTATGACCAAACTTTAAAAGAAAATGTTGACCTGAAATGATTGGATATCTACACTGATTGACCTTGACCTGACTGATAATTATGGTGATCCATTTTGACAGTTGTCCAGCCTGAAAGTTTAACATGTGTTGGATAAAAAGAACAGTGGTTACAAAAAGACAGACACACTCTTTATAAATTTCCAAGTTAAGTAAATTAAACATTAAAAACTTTCATTTAAATTAAAACAAAATATTTTCATAAAACTTTAATGATTAAATAGCCAAAATTATTAAAACACTCATTTTGAAGTTTTGAAGAAATTGTGTTACTTAGCAAAGAATGAAAATCTTTCAAAAATAAACTGAATGACCATAAATCAAAACAAAAATTTCAAGTTTCAAAAATTAGCTTTTCCAAACATTTTTTTTTAAACTAAAACAAAAATTTATACTTAACCAATTATTTTTTTTTAAAGAAAATATACAAAATGTATATGTATTTATCAAAAATTAACCAAAAAATTAGACAGCTGAGATAGTTTGGTATGAAGTAACAAGGCAGCCTAGCACTCTAGCCACCTGTCTCCACCCAGCAAACCTCCCAGCTGCCTCAGGGACAGGAGCAACCTCAACCACTGGAGCAGGGATCACCTCCCAGTCCAAAGGAACACCTACATCATTACCTATAACAACATACGGTGTGACTGGAGTGGCTGGAACCTCAACCTCTTCAGGACCATACCAGACAGTCTCTTCAGCGTGGTTGGTTGTTGCATCCTCATCCACTACCTCCTCGAACAAAACAGTCTCCTCCTCTGTTGGCAGGAAAGACACAGTCTCCTCCAGGAACCAGTCGGCTGGGTCCTCCACCGTTGTGTCCATACCACACAGCACAGAGGCCTCCACAGACAGCTCCATGACCTCTTCATCCTCCAGAGTTGACTCCAGAACCGAGAGCTCCTCGCCAGCTAACTCCACCTCGACCATATCATTCTCGTCAATGATAACTTCAGCAGCAATTTGAATAGCTGCTTCAGGAACCATGACAGAGAATAATCGTGCACGAGGTACGACTGCTTCGAAATGATCAGGTTGATCATTTCTTGGCAGCTCAGGAGAGGCAACTGGGACAAGTACTGGTTCAGGCTCCAACCCTAAAAGACGACGAGAGCATCGTGGTGCCTCTACTCGTGGAGCCACATAGCCGTATGGCATACCAACTCGTTGGAGACGCCTGTTCATCTGGTTGTCCACGTAGGTCCTCACACTGAAATATAATAAATTGAATATAATACATATTCTGCTTTCCCACTTTTTTTTAACATAACATTCACATGTCAAACTATACAAACTTTGATTATGAATTTAAATCATTGAGATACTGTAAATTCAGAAATTATTACATCAATTTATAATTGTGATTTTTTAAGAAAGTACTAAATTATTCATTTTAAAAAAATATTAACAATTTCTAAAGGAGTAGGTCCGGTAACAACGATAAAACGGCCCAATTTTTTATGTATATGGGAACTTTAAAATTAAACAAATTTATTGGTTTCATTACCCTAATGAATAGTTTATTAAAGTATATGTACAAGGAATAGTCGTAAAACGCTGTTGTTGGTCTGTAATTTATCATTCACGTTACATGATTTTGTACAAAATGGTGAAAAACGGCAATTTTGTGTTGGTAAACAAGAAAATTAAGTTTGGCCGCATGCGTGTTCATTCATAATATTTCATGTATAAATGAATTTCTTACAAATCTGTATCCATGCAAAATATTTTAAATGAACACGATTGCGGCCACACTTAAATTTAAACTTTTCTATCGTATTTGGTTGAAATTTTCCGTTATTGTCCGGGTTTGTGTTACGCAGTATTTTGTTTATTTACATTTCCGGTTTCAGCAGAAGACAAGTGACCTGATTACACATACACAACCAAATTTGATAAGCGATTCAATATTTATTTCCACTCCAAATCCTTTAAACGAACTTATTTTCAAGATATATGCATTGCAAAGTGAGTCCGAATTGTAGGAAATCGTTAGTGATAGAAATATGACAGGGTAAACACTGCGAACATTTGACATATATCATTTGACATTTGACCGAGACACTTGTTTACATTTTTAATTAGGCCACCCATCGGTTCAGTGTACAATGTAGTACAAGTCACATGCATTAGAACTTGAATAATAGAATTTGAAAGAGTAATTTTCAACATGAGCGACAAAACTTTCAATGAAAAAGTACTAGATAGAAGGAAGAACATGTATTGACTATTGACCTGTTTAGCTATAAGCATTGAAGGAATCCGGTGTCACACACTTGATGCATTACAATTTACTAACTGTTTTGTCTCGGTTTTCTTGTGGTAGCATGTTCACCTCGAGTGCAGTAAGTCATGGGTTTAAACCCCTGCTGATAAAAAGGAGTATAATAAAGGAGCAAAGATTGGTTGGATAGGAATCTGGGTAAGGTGACATGTCTTCTAGTTAATGTTTGCCTTGTGAACTTGTGTTGTAAAAATCCAAACTCCGTGTTTATGTCTAGTACAATGCATCGCCAAGTTATTTCTCATAGCATTATGCCAAGTTATTTCTAATACCAAAAAATTACCATTACACCAAGTTATTTTTTATAGCATTACACCAAGTTATTTCTTATAGTATTACACCAAGTTATTTCTTATAGCATTACACTAGGTTTATTCTTATATAAAAAAAAAACTTTAAAATTAAGCCATTTCCATTACTTAATCACACACTGAAGCATAGGAGTGAAAAGATCACAATAAATGCATTTAAATTTTAATGTGGTGATCCTGCCAATAGGCATGATAGGGTGGATGGAGAAAAAAGAAGATAATCAAGCATCTTAACTGATTATAATGTTTCTCTTTCAACAAATTGTCCATGTCAGTTATTAAGGTATATTGCAAGTTCAAAATACATAATGAGATAATAAAATTTGAGAGTTCTGTGGTGAGGTATATGTGGCAAAGGAGGCATTAACTAACAACTTAAAAGCTTATTATTTCAGACCTTGATGCTTCATACTTGTAGATGCCTTATGTTATGAAGTTTCCATCTGTCATACATGTATGTTCATCATGTTCATTGTCCTTGATCTCATTTTTCATGGTTTATTCACTTCTTGGAAAAAAAAGTTAACATTTTTTCTGTAATCTTAATTTATCTCTTATTATGAGTAACAGGATGACTAATCTGATCTTGGCCTCACTTTATGGTACATTGGTCAATGTTAAGTTTTCTGGTAAAGTTTTTTTTTAGATACAATATGCAATAGGTCAACTATATTGAATGCATGGAATGATTGTAACTAAGGTGTACATTTCTGTCTGGCAGGTTTCTTCTGACCTTGACCTCTTTTCATGGTTCATTGAGCAGTATAAAAGTTTCATGGATCTGGTCTGTTTCTTCTATACTTTAAGCACTACTTAAATTTTTGTTGGTGTATGGAATGATTGTAGGTGTACATATACTTCTGGCTTGGTTAATATTACCATGATACATTTTCTTTGATTATGTTAAGTTTATGTGAAACTTTATTTACTTCATTTCACTACTATACAGCCATTTTGTTCTTATTATCTTGAAACTGTTCATAATCCCATCTCTAAGCAAAATAGATTCTTTATAAAGTCATCGCTTTTTCAGTTTACAACAAGTTTTTGTGCCCTTTCCATTCTATCGTAAATTGTTAGATATATAAAAAGCTGTTGAGATCTTATAACTGTATATATATGTACATGTATGTATAATCTGAGTAAGCCATGATTCAACTTTTTCAAGTGACACATATATTTTGTTCTCAAGATCTTCATAATTTTCAATTATAAGGTTGTGAAATATCGGTTCTTTAGAGAACAATTCATGATTAGCAAAATGATAAGGCAATCACATTTGGACTGAATTTATTTCGGCATCAGCCAATTTCATTTCTATATGTAAGATGTGTTTTTAAAATGTAACCAATAATATTACAATGATATTTGGTATATGAAGATGAAAAAATTTGGTATGATTGCCAATGAGACAACTCTCCACTGAAATTAAATGACATATTTTAAAACTATAGGTCACTGTACGACCTTCAACAATGAGCAAAACACATACTGCATAGTTATGCTGTTATTATAATATTCATTTCAACAGTAATTATTTGGCCCTGAACTCCAGTAGATGGCTTTTGAAAGGTTTGGATTGGTATATGTTTTTCAGTTTGATAGGAACATTTGAATTAAAATTACATACAAGCAACATATATGATTATCAGAACAATTTATTAAAAAAAAATTATTTATGCATTATTAATTCATGATTCCTGCATAATTTTTATGTTGTTTTTTTTCAGTTCTTTTGTCTTAAAGATGTTTTTTGATTGATTGGGACGTATACTTTCCAGTTCTACAATCTCAACATTTCTGCATATCAATTTTACAGGTAATAAATCTGTTATACCTTTAATACTTCTGTTGACTTGTGTTATTTTTTTATAATTATAAAAATCAACATGCATTTTCATTTCACCATCAGATAAATGATATATGTTATTTGCACAATTTTTGGCTTGTAAAGCACAATATAAACTGATACTAAAGGCAAACTCACACACACATACACTATTTGTACATTCAGTCATTGTAGGAAAATATTTAAATTATATTTGTACAAGCTTATAAACGGAGGGAAATTACGGGGCTCTTCAAATATAGTTTTTATCATGTAATTCGATAATTAGATATAAGAAGATGTGGTATGAGTGCCAATGAGACAACTCTCCATCCAAGTCACGATTTGTTAAAGTAAACCATTAGACAAAAAATAATGAGTGTGTTTCCTATTACATCTTTAAAAAAAATAAGGTAGGTAGGTAGGGATTTTTATACGACCGCAAAAAATTTTGCGGTCATATATTGGTATCACGTCGTCGTCAGCATCGTCCGAAGACATTTGGTTTCCGGACAATAACTTTAGTATAAGTAAATAGAAATTTATGAAACTTAAACACAAGGTTTATAACCACAAAAGGAAGGTTGGGATTGAATTTGGGGGTAATAGTCCTAACAGTTTAGGAATTAAGGGTCAAAAAGGGGCCCAAATAAGCATTTTTCAAGTTTCCAGACAATAACTTGTGGAACGGTGTATGGATCTCTCTGAAATTATACCACAAGTTTCCATACCACAAAGGGATAGTTAGGATTGGCTTTGGGGGGTAATAGTTTAGGAATTAGGAGCAAAAAAGGGGGAAAACAAGGGTTAATGGACAATTACTTTTAAGTACAATGTTTTGTGTTTGGATTACCTCCCTTACACTGTTTTTAAATTATGTATATAGAAATGTTGTATTGTCTTGAGGTGATTAGCTGTCAATTTATTTTTATACGACTGCAAAAAATTTTTGAGATCGTATATTGGTATGACATTGGCGTCGTCTTCGTCCGAAGACACATTGGTTTTCGCACAATAACTTTAGTTTAAGCGAATGGATCTCTATGAAGTTTTACCATAAGGTTCAATACCACAAAAGGAAAGTGGGGATTGATATTGGGGATAATTGCCTCAAAATTTTAGGAATTAGGGGCCAAAAAAGGGGCAAAAAACAAGCATTTTTCTAGTTTCATGACAATAACTTGTGTGTTAGTGTATGGATCTTTCTGAAATTGTACTGCAAGGTTCCATATCACAAAGGGAAAGCTGGGTTTGAGTTTGGGGGTAATTGCCCTAAACGTTTAGGAATAAGGGGCCGAAAATAAGCATTTTTCTAGTTTCCAGACAATAACTTGTGTTCAAGTGTATGGATCTCTTTGAAATTGTACTGCAAGGTACCATACCACAAAGGGAAGGCTGGGATTGATTTTGGGGGTAATTGCCTTAAAATTTTAGGAATTAGGGGCCAAAAAGGGGAAAAAACAAGCATTTTTCTAGTTTCAGGACAATAACTTGTGTGTAAGTGTATGGATCCTTATGAAATTTTACTACAAGGTTCCATATCAAGCGTGAATATTGTGTCCATTTTTGCCCCAACTGTTCAGGGTTGCACCTCTGCAGTCGTATCCAGCTGCGCTCGGCGAAGCAATTTATTTTTTATTTTACCATTTTTTTTTACATTGAGTCTATGGGAGAGACATTCTACTTATTGAAATATGACAAAAAAACTTCAGGGTAGGCTATATTTTAGCTTAAAAAATAGGGAGGGTAGGGTAATAGGAAACACACATCATTTTTTATTTGGCCTTATATATGTAGGTCAAAGTACTGCCTTCAACATAGAGCCTTGGCTCACACTGAATTACCTTTTTAGGTCAAAAGTCAAGGTCACAGTAACTTGTTTTTGTATGCCACTCACAGCCTTTCAATAATGCATCCAAATGTATCAAATATGTTCAGCCTAAGTTCTATGAACAACATGATAGGAACTCGCATTCTGATATCAAATTATATATCTGTTTGTAGCTTTTCCTAAAATCGCAATAATTAAACTCTATTTTTATTTTTAATTGTTGAAAGGTCACAAATATAAATGCAAACAAACACCCAATTTTAGGTAGGGGCCAGCTGAGGACCACCTCCGGGTGAGGGATTTTCTCGCTGCATTGAAGACCCATTGGTGGCCTTCGGCTGTTGTCTGCTCTTTGGTTGGGTTGTTGTCTCTTTGACATATTCCCCATTTCCATTCTCAATTTTAATAATTACTGAATTTGCAGTAAACAAAATAGTAACTTACAGTTTTATGTTATATTGCTGTTTTAGGTACAAAAGATGTAGACAACTTTTTGGTTTAGATTACAGATCTAACAAGCTTGAGTGTACACCGTTTTTCAACTACAGTCTATAGAGGTAATATGCTCATCAAATGATAAGTAATTTTGTTCTATTTTTAAAAAATTTAATGATTTAACTATGTTTCCCATTAATATTACATTATTCATACATATATACCATACCATAATGTGTAATTTAACACTATGATCTGCTTAATCCAGTGTTACTTTTTAAAGAACATCTGTTAACAATGTAATTTATATTGAATCAAATTTAAACACTTACAAAAAAATATATGATTTTGTCAAAATGTCCACATTATGGCGTGATCATTGATTATTAATCAGGGTGATGAACCGATCAACTATCTAATACAAAGTTGAAGAGGATTTTAATAATTATTATATAGAAATGATATCCACAAATGCCATTTATAAATAAAATCAATGTAACGAAATATTTAAGATCAGGATATCTGAATTGCATTTTGGTCAATGGTTCTGGCAATGGCAATGCTAACATACTTTTTATATATAATTTTATCATTTTGTAGGTCTTAAAGATGTAGATTCATCTTGCTTGTTTTTTATGACAGTTTGGCTGTGCCTGCAACTGGGATGCACATCTTTCCTGTTCCAGTGCATAACTTGTCACTCAGCTTTCAGAGGTAATATAGGTTCAATTCATATGCAAAGCCTACTGATGAGTCCCATTGCATATGATTTAATTTTTAACATTTTATAAGGGACGAAACTCACAAGGCCAAACAGAAGCTGAATTTATTACAGTTATAGTATGAATACAATCTATTTTCACTGATATTTCATGTCTTGCTTAAATTTGACTTTTCAAAATATTTGATCATTTTTACTTTAAGTAAATACATAAATATTCAGCTTGGCATTGGGAGTCTAGGCATTATGTTAGTACTAGACAATATAATACCAAATGGAAAGAAAACATGTGAAGAACCATATGAGTCACTGCCATATGTTTTCACTCAGAGCTATCTTCATTGCCAGTGTTATATGAATTCATAGAAGATATGTTGTAGGATTACCAATGAAACTATCAAACAGAGTCCAATTGAAGCACATTTCAGCAACTATAAGTCACTGTACAGCCTTCAGCTTTGAGCAAAAATCAGCTTTAAAAGGCCTTTACATGACAAAATGTGAAACAATAAAATAAGAGCTAAGACTGAATAATAATGGAAAAAAAAATATGACAGGCTTCAAATAACAACAAATGCTTAATAACATGCATCTGATTCATTTAGAATATGACAGGGTTAAAAATGTTTGCAAGGCCTCGACCAAATGTCTACTTCTATTTATATATATGTTTACAAGATTACTTTAAACCTCATTATTAGAAAAATTGCCAAATGTTCTTTTCTATTACATCACTATAACTTTTTTGGAAATTCATATGCACAGCCTACTGATGAGTCCCATTGCATATGATCACATTTAAATGTGTAAAAGGGACGAAACTCACAAGGCCAATTGATGCTGAAATTATTCACTGCAGTTTCTGTATCAATCCACATATTTATCACTCATATTATGAATCTTTCATATTATTATTTTTCATAAATTTCCTTTATCAAAAGATTTGATCAACTGCATTTTAATTGAATCAGTATTATTCAGCCTGGCCTTGGGAGTCTAGGCAGGATGTTTTTAGCACAACAAAATCAAACACAAAACTGCAACGTATTTGCATAACCTCTTATATCCATAAATTGAACTAATATATATATACACATAAGAAAAGAAACTTCTTTTGTTTATACATGTATATATATATATATAATTCTTATATGATTTGCATATTAGAGAATACGTTGATATGATTGGTCGCCATGACTTCCGGTAGTTGTTTTTGACGTTGTTTATTTTTCAATATTTGATGTTGACTGAACTTCTTTTTGTAACCAATGTAAACAAAATGTCACAAACATACAATTTACATGTGATAAAGGTAACGAGGGTGAAAAATAAATTCCTTATCTTCAATTTAAAAGAAATATAAGGATTAAACGCCTTTTTAAAGGAATTTATTGGTGAATAAACTGGACCAAGTCAGTAACAAATATATCATAAAAGTAATTCAGACTTTTATTTGTTTGTGAGTGAATTGGTCGAGTTTATACACCAATAAAATCCTTTAAAAAGGCGTTTATTCCTATAATATTAAGATAACAAACGAAAAGCTGATATATCTATTTAATTTCATGGTTTTAGCATATAAATGTAATTATCATGATTATAAGAAATGAATGCTTCTTTTTATATTTTTTTAAGGGTTGTAAAAGCAATAATTGTGTGCACATTTTTAGAATGAAGCAATTCTGTGCTTGATACAGAATGTGCTTCCGTCAATGGTTTTAAGACCCAATAAAATGATAAAAAGACACATTCAATTCGTAATGATAAATGTCCAATTTATTTATAAAATACATGTACATGTATTATAAAAAAAATAAAAATCTATCATTTTGATCTACATATGTTTCAGGATGAAAAATGCCTGGTACAGGACTAAAATCGTATCCCTGTATAAAGTGCAAGATAAGAACCAAACATGAAAATAGAAGACCGATAAAAAACAAAGTTAATTTTATCAAATATCTAACAGAAGATCTAGGTATTACTATAGAAAATGACAGTGTATGCTGCACTAAATGCCTTCAAATTTTTTACCGCATACAGTCTACCAAACAAAAGGAGTGTAGAGAAATTCAAATTAATAATACAATTGACAAAGATCAATCTTCAGATTGCGAAGAAATACAATTAGATGAGACTGATGATATAAATAATGATCCTGACTATGTTCCAGAGAATAAAAAAACTAAGAATGACTCCAACACAATTAGTCCTAAAAACATTCAACTACCTATATTTTGTACAGGAAAAGGTCACTCATCTTGTTGTTTGTGCAAGAAAAGGGGCGCAAAGATGACAGTTATTTCTCCAGATGCTAGGTATAGACTTTTTATAGAAAAGGAGTGTCTATTTTTGGCTGGTTCAAGATGTTGTTCACATCATTTAGTGAACAACTATTTTGATGAAAAATCTTTAAAAGACATTAATTCTTTTGCCGGAAATTTTACAGATTTCAACCGAAGCCAATTGATGCAGCTTATTTCAAATATTAGGACAATTGCATTAAAAAATATACGTTCAAGAATAGATTTTGATAATGATTGTTTAGATGACTCTGACTATCTAAGTCTCACAGGAATTACAGCCGCAGACTTTAATGATGTTTGTTCTCATGTTTTGAACATTAGGAACAATAAAAATAGAACAAGTAGAACCTGTGTTGCATTACTTCTTGTAAAATTAAGATCTGGAATGTCAAACAGATTATTGTCAACATTATTCAACATGGGAAAATCTAGTGTACGAAGAGCATTAGCATCTGCCAGAAAGGAACTCTCCATCCATTTCACACCAAAATACCTAGGCTTCAATCACATTTCACGAGAGAACATAATAAATAATCACACCAGACCACTTGCACAAGAACTTTTTGGCACTCCTCATGAACAGCAAGCTATTCTAATCCTAGATGGTACATACATATACATTCAAAAATCAAATAACTTCCATTTCCAGCGAAGATCTTACAGCATGCATAAAAATAGACCACTGGTAAAACCAATGATAATTGTATCAAGCACTGGCTACATACTTTCTATTCTTGGCCCTTATTTGGCAGACCATAAAAATAATGATGCTGGTATTTTAAAACATAATTTGAAAACCAATATGGAAAACATGAATGAATGGATTCAGCCTGGAGATGTTCTAATTGTAGACAGGGGATTTAGGGATGCATCAGAAATGTTAGATGACTTCGGCATTCAAGCTGAGATGCCAAAGTTTTTACCCAAAGGCCAAAAACAATTCACAACCGAAGAAGCCAATGCTTCTCGCTTAGTTACAAAAATAAGATGGGTAGTTGAATCCGTAAATGGCCGATTAAAGCAATGGAAATACCTTCAAAATGTAGTGCCAAACATACAAATACCCTATATCGGTGACAATGTCAAACTAATTGGAGCTATATGCAACAAATACAAGCCGCCATTATCTACCGGTGAAAAGGACAATGATCAAATCTTGGCTGCAAAAATGAGGGTAAAAAATTTACAAAATTATACTCTTTGATAACAGTGGTATTAATTCCAATTACAAAACTACCCAAAAAGATTAGACTTTGTTTATCCGACTACTTTCACAACCAAAACTTACAACAATGGAGCTTGATTTCACATATACTCATAAGAAACATGTTTCACCCTTATTTATAATAGTGTGACTTGTTGAAAGACAATATTAATTAAAACAATTTTAAAAAAGTAAGCATATTTTTATCTGTTTTGTTGATATGAATCCTGGAAAAATTGTCTCCCAAACTTAACAAGAAAGTCCACTGGACATATATTCCTTTGTGACTGAGGTTGCCAATTTACACATAAATGTGAATTGATAAAAAAGTGTCTCATTTCACAAAAATGCATATGTTAATTGTACACAAATGCATACATAAATACATGTTTTTAACTAAATATTTCAGGTACTGTCCAGGAAAAAAAATGATTTGCAGGAGAGGGTAGAGAGAGAAGGGTTACATAGAAGAATATGTTCTTGGAAAAAGATTGATGCAGATGATTCCATGCCTTGTTTTCCTATGTTGTCAGAAGAAGAATTGAGAAACATAACTGTTGGTGTTTACCAATTAAAACTAGCTAAATCTTACACACAGGAACACCTCAATGATGAGAGTGAATTTATAATAATGATAAATTCAGATCTTGAAAGTATATTAAGGGTACAAATTCAGAGCAGACATACTTCAGCTAGAAAATACTTGATATGGATTGAATATGATGAGATTGAGGTCAAGGCCTGGTATTGCCAATGTAAAACTGGTTCTAGAGTTGTAGGCACATGTGCCCATGTTGCAGCTGTCTTGTGGTATTTAGGTTTTGCACGCCACATGGACAAACATAACGGAATTAAGGACTGGTCAGAGTTTGTTGAAGATGCAGCAAAGATTCCTGTTTTAATTGATGAATCTGACACTGAAGAGGAATTTCCTGAAGAGTGACATACTGTGCTTTATTAAAAGAAATGCATTTAAGCAGTGGTCTAGTTAGTGTGTAAGCCGTAAGGGAATGTAAGGATATAGTCTTATTAGTCTAGTAGATTAACATATTGTTACTTTATTTACAGTTATTTTGGTTGGGTTTATGGTATTTTTGGGTGACAAGAAGATTTTTTCCAAGTGATGAAATAATTAGGTTACAAAAAATAATCCTTGGCTAGGGCAACATTGGAAGTGGGGTGTACAGAGGTGGTAGATGGCAGCTGTTCTCTCTTAAAGATAGCTAGGACACTTTTTTAAAATTCTCTGCAAACTTCAAAATAGATGTGAAGTAAACATAAAAGAAGCAGCAACCTAGTGACCAAAATAATAAAGACATTGTCATCAATAGTTATGCATTTAGAAAGTCTCTTATTTTTTTACTTCCCAATCAGTGTCAGACTCACCAATTAAAACTTTTAAAGCTTTGAATGAATATAATTTTTTTGAAACTGTGATATTTCAGCCTTATGATGATTCAAATGTAATGTTTCAGTCTGATGATGATTTAAATGTTATTTTTCAGTCTGTGATAATTTATATGTGATATTTTAGTATTTGATGATTTAAATGTGATATTTTAATCTGTGATAATTTAACTGTGATATTTCAGTTTATGACAATATCTAGAAATGTAATATGTTAATGCTTATGTATTGGTTATTCATTTTTTCTCATGTACAGCTTTAGTTGTGAAGATGCATCAAAAACGTCATGTAAGGTATGTCATGATTGAAATAAGATATTTAAGTCCGTGATAGTTAAAAATGTGATATTTCAGTCTGTGATGATTAAACATGTGATTTTTCAGTCTGTGATGTTTAAAAATGTGATAGTTCAGTCTGTGATGATTCAACATGTGTTATTTCAGTCTGTGATGAGTAAACATGTGTTATTTTAGTGGGTGATGATTAAACATGTGTTATTTCAGTCTGTGATAAGTAAACATGTGTTATTTCAGTCTGTGATGATTAAACATGTGATTTTTCAGTCTGTGATGTTTAAAAATGTGATAGTTCAGTCTGTGATGATTAAACATGTGTGTTTTCAGTCTGTGATGAGTAAACATGTGGTATTTCAGTGGGTGATGATTTAACATGTGTTATTTCTGTCTGTAATGAGTAAACATGTGTTATTTCAGTCTGTGATAATAATTCAGTTTATGTGATGTTTCAGTCTGTTTGATATTTCAGTCTGTGATATATCAGTCTGTATGATGTTTCAGTCTTTGTGATATTTCAGATTTTGGTGAATTGTATGTGTTATTCAATTATGTGATTATTCAATTGTGTTATTTCAGTCTGTGTGATATTTAAGGTTGTGTGATATTTCATTCTGTGATGATTAAAAATGTGATTTTTCAGTCTTTGATGTTTAAAAATGTGATAGTTCAGTCTGTGATGATTAAACATGTGTGTTTTCAGTCTGTGATGAGTAAACATGTGTTATTTCAGTTGGTGATGATTTAACATGTGTTATTTCAGTCTGTGATAATAATTCAGTTTATGTGATGTTTCAGTCTGTTTGATATTTCAGTCTGTGATATATCAGTCTGTATGATGTTTCAGTCTTTGTGATATTTCAGATTTTGGTGAATTGTATGTGTTATTCAGTTATGTGATTATTCAATTGTGATATTTCAGTCTGTGTGATATATAAGGTTGTGTGATATTTCATTCTGTGATGATTAAAAATGTGATATTTCAGTCTGTGACATAAGTATTCTGTGATTTTCAAGTATGTGATAACAATTTCAGTTTGTGTGTTGTTTCAGTCTGTGTGATATTTCAGTCTGTGATATTTCAGTCTTTGTGATATATCAGTCGATGTGATATTTCAGTCTGTGATATTTCAGTCTTTGTGATATATCAGTTGGTGTGATGTTTCAGTCTTTGTGATATTTCAGATCTTGATGAATTGAATGTGATATTCCATTCTGTTATTATTCAATTGTGATATTTCAGTCTGTGTGATGTTTTAGTCTGTGTGGTATTGATGAATTGAATGTGATATTTTATTCTTTGATGATTCAAATATGATATTTCTGTTTGTTGATATTTCAGATTATGTGGTATTTCAATCTATGTGGTATTTCAGTCATTGTGATATTTCAGTCTTTAATTGATGAATAAAATGTGAGATTTGTGTTTGTTTGATATTTCAGTCAAGTGCTCTTTAAGTCTGTGTGAAGAACAGTATGATGTTTCAGTATGTGGTATTGCAGTTTGTTGTGATAATAATTTGATTTTTCAATATGTAGGGATTTAATTTTTTGATATTTCAGTCTATTATTATATTATCCTCATTTTTGTTCACTTGTATGTTTTTTTGTTAAAAAAAAGTGAATTCTAATGTCTTTTTCTGTTATAAAATAAGTTTTATATTTAAGGAATGACTGTAATATTTTTTCTGTCTATGAAGAAATAACATCAAAAATGTGGTGCATACTGAATAAACCACGAAGCGTGTTATTTTAAAGTGTGAACCACATTTTTGATGTTACTACGAATAGACAGAAAAAATATTACAGTCATTCCTCATAATTCAATTCTAAATTCCATTTTAAGCCTTAGTAAATCATGAAAAACATTGACGACATCAACGTCACATGACAATATTATGTCTATGAGCTGATAGACAAAACACTGTCAGCCAATCAGAAGACGCGTTACATCCAAAATTAAATTATTTTTAATTGCACTGTTAAAAAAATATGTACTTCTGCTTTCATTTATGTTTTGTTTGTTTTTTTCGTTATCTAAAAACCCAGAAATCCTCATTTTTTTGTTGATGAACTTTAGCCTTAAATGAGCTGTTAATGTATTTTTGTGTTACTTTATACATTTGCCTAATTGGTATTGTCAACAATGTCCTTATACAATATTTGCATTACTAATATCACTTATATTATTTTTGCTGAATACGTAATTTAAAATTCCCAGAAATCCTCATTTTTTGGTTAGTTTTAATGATTTTAGTCTTAAAAATGAATAATAATGCATTTTTATTTTATTGGACAACTTTTGTATTGTTAATTGTACTGTTATACAAAATAAGTAATTTTGCTTTCATTGAAGTAATGTGTCTTTTATGTGTCATTCAAAATTCCCAGAAATCCTCAATTTTAGTTAATTTTTAATAACTTTTGCCTTAAAATGAGCTGTTAATGTATTTTTATGTAACATTATACAATTGGTATTGTCAACAATGTCCCTATACAATATATGCATTACTAATATCACTTATATTATTTTTGCTGAATACGTAATTTAAAATTACCATAAATCCTCATTTTTTGGTTATTTTTAATGATTTTAGTCTCAAAAATGAATAATAATGCATTTTTATTTTATTGAACAACTTTTGTATCGTTAATTGTACTGTTATACAAAATAAGTAATTTTACTTTCATTGAAGTAATGTGTCTTTTATGTGTTATTCAAAATTCCCAGAAATCCTCAATTTTAGTTAATTTTTAATAACTTTTGCCTTAAAATGAGCTGTTAATGTATTTTTATGTAACATTATACAATTGGTATTGTCAACAATGTCCATATACAATATATACATTACTAATATCACTTATATTATTTTTACTGAATATGTTATTTAAAATTCCCAGAAATCCTTATTTTTTGGTTATTTTTAATGATTTTTGTCTCAAAAATGACTTATAATGCAATTTTTTTGTTATTGGATAACGAAAGTATTGCTAATTACATCCTTATACGAGATATGCACTATTGCTATCATTTATGTTATGTTTGTTTTATTCAAAATTCAAAATTCCCAGAAATCCTCTATTTCAGTTGATTTTTTATGGTTTTTGCCCTAAAATTTACCTTTAGAGGCATTTTTAAATTATTGTTTTTTCATGATAGCTTTAACTGTAGTTTTAAACAATATATGCACCATTGTTGTCATTTTAATTATGTTTATTAAATATGTAATTAAAAAAATTCAGAAATTCTCAAAAATTCTCTGTATTTTATTATTTTCACCCAAAAATGATGAAAACTTGAAAAAAATGATTAAAAAATTACATTTTGTGACAAAGTGGTCATCTTGCCACCTGAAAACCACTACAAAAAAATTTTTTGAGATTGGGCCAAAAATGGCCCTTAATGACCCTACTCCTTTACAGTAACAAAGAAAATAAATAGAAATAATTCACTGTTTCAGAAAATAAGCTATTATAGCCAAATAAGAAGCAAGTTAAGAACAGGTTTTTTTTCAAGTTTATATGCATGTTTTCTTAAGTGTGGACATTTACAAAACAGGCAAAAACAAGAATGTGTCCATAATACACAAGTGCCCCAATCGCACTATCATTTTCAATATTCAGTGGACCTTGAAATTGGGGTAAAAACTCTATTTCAGCATTAAAATTAAAAAGATCATATCATAAGGAACATGTGTACAAAGTTTCTAGTTGATAGGACTTCAACTTCATCAAAAACTACCTTGACCAAAAACTTTAACCTGAAGCGGGACAGACAGAGGAACGGATGAACAGACCAGAAAAAATAAATGGGGCATAAAAATAAGCTGAGAAATCGTCCCGGTTTCCACAACATTAAGACAATTGAAAACAGAGCTTAGGGTTCAACATACTTAATATCAAAGTCAGAAAGGTCAATTTGATGTTTAAAGTTCTCTATTGTTAACATACGAGTTGTATTTTCTCCTATCTAATATTGACAAGTTTTCATTCAAGTTTGTTGAAAGTCTGAATATGTGTTATTTGTGATGTCATGAAAACACTTATACATAAAGTTTACGAAATTGACATATTTCATTAATCTGGTCATTGATTTAGCTATAATTATAAATCATTGAGTGTGATATGATATTTATCCAATCGAGACAGTTAAATTTTCAAATTTAAAATGCAAGGCTTGCCCGAGCGTTTTTAATATTTAAAATTTAACTGTCAAGAGTGGATAAATATATTACACCAGATTTGGTGGTGGAATCAGTTTCTCTAGGGATTTTTATGCTAAAATGCAAGCAAACTTATTCCTTTTTCATGATTTATCTGAAAAAGATGTGTTCTTTCTATACAACGTCATCAGACATGGTCCCCTTTTTTAATGACGTCACAATAAGAGATTCAGAAGAAAGCAAGAAAATGTGACGTCATAATCAAAGTTTTACCAATGAATGATCTGAGATCAAATGAACCACAAGTTGATTAAATAAAAATAATCAACCGGTTTGGAAAACAATAAATCAGCTTAGAATTAGAGAAATATAAATATATATAATAATTGTGTGCTTCATAGTGACAATATATTGTAGTTTAAAATTTTAGCCGTTTTGAAATCTCATCAAACCTCATGCTTTCCCCCGTCTGTACCCAAAATGAAAATACCTCATATAAGTGATTTAGTTTTCAATTGTTTTAAGCTTTATAAGTAGTCGTAATAAATTAATTTGGTGTAAGCCTTTGAAAATATTACCATGAATGCTTTAGATTCCAGTTTAGAAGGCATGAAATTTTGTAAGTTTAATGGTAATTATTTGACCATCTAAAACTTGAAATTAAAGGATTAAACTGTCAAAAAATCAAGTGTTGTTTTTCAACAAAAAAATCAAGGGGAGATAATTGTATTAAAAGGAGTAGGGGCAATAAGGCACATATTTGGCCCAAAAATTTCTGCAAATTTAAAAGTTTTCATACATATTCTAAACTTACTGAAAACTTGACTACGGTACAAGGAATTCAGAAAAACAAAATAAGTTAGCCATTTAACAAGTTTCCATGGCAATAAATCATGACTTAATTTGCATGTTTTGTAAAATTTCGTGATTTTTCTTATTTTTCATCAAATTTCAAGTATATTTTAAATTGAAAAAATATTGTGCACACCCAAGAAACAACTTTATATTTGGTGAGATTATGTCAATAGTTATAATAAAGCTTCTGTTAAATTATTTTGTTATTTCTTGGCTGCACACGATTTTTCCACAATGGAAATAAAGATAGAAAACTGCAAAAATTCTGTATTTTTCATTGTTTTTGTGAAAACAGTACATATTATGACGTAATTGTGACGTCATCAGATAAAAATCTTTATGTTTTTCATTTATATTTCTTGACCCTATGCATTTCTAAACATTATGTGCCAATTTGAAATAGTTATCTAACATTTTATTTTCTTGGGCCAAAACCAGGCCTTAATGCCCCGCCCCCACTCCTTTACAGGACAAATTGAATTCTTCAAAAAAGTAAGGCATGTGACCCCCTTTTGTCTTTTTATTTGATATTTTTCTGTGCAATCTATAAAATAAAATACTCTCATTGAATCATTATCAATTCTACTGTTTAATGTTTCCTCTTCTTCGCTGAGAACAACTAGGTACCCCTGCAGACAGTTGGGGCAAAAATGGAAATAATATTCAAGCCTGATACAGGTCTGAATTTAGATTGTAATTGAATATTTGACATATTATAGGTTTCTGAATAAATGTAGTCAAAGAAGTTGAAATTGGTTATATGAATTGAATTTATATTCAATTAAAGATTCCTTGCTGTTGTGCAATACACTGTTGCTCAATACTTAGTAAATCTGTTGTCAGACTCAACAAATAAAGTTAAATTTATTCTCAATATCATATTAGAAATTTATAAAAATCAAAAAATCGATGTAAATAATTCACTTAAGTTTCATAAGAATTGCTGAAAGCATTTTTGAGTTTTTGTGCGAAAACTGAAAAATACCCCTTTTTTATGAATAAAACCCTGTAATCAGAAACTTAAAAACTAAAATTTATAAAAATCTAAAGGGAGCTCACGTCAATAGATATAAACAATTCACCACAATTTCTTGCAAGTTGGTGAAAGCATTCTTGAGTTAGTGTATGAAAACTGGAAAATCCCCCTTTTTTTAATTTATAAAACTCCATAACTCTTAAACATATAATCTAAAATTTATAAAAATATATTATATCATGTCAATAGAAATTAACAATTCACCAAAGTTTTATGCAAATTGGTTCAAGCGTATTTGAGTTAATGTCCAGCATGTTAATGAATGACGGACAGACTGACGGACGGACAATGGTATACCATAATACGTAAACCTGCATATAAAAATTAAGTTTCCCCTATATAAATAAAATAATTGATTTCGTTAATTTCAATGTATCTTGGGGAACACTGGTCTATCTTCAGCATATCAATAAAAAAAAATTCAAAGGGTGAACAACAATGAAACTGCAGCAACCCAACAAAACAAATAACTAAAGGACATCTA